CAAAAAGAGTCAGCAAATGATTTCTAAAGTCTCTTAGAACTTTAGACTCTGGTACGCTGGTGACTCTTTTGGAAACCCTAATTTAAGACACATGCACATATTGGGCATGGGATTGCTGGCTGGGCTGGAAGGGGACCCTGAAGGCCAGGCTTGAGGAGATGTGGTGGTGCCCAGCCTGCCCAAGATGTAGGAACCAGGAAACACTTTCCAGCCGTCTGTCTCACTAGCTGGCTCTCGAGCCACAGTTACCATGTGGGCAGGTGTAATGTTAATGTGGCTGCTGAAAATTAATTATTCTACAGAAGTAGGAGGAAAGGAAATTTAAATTCATTAGGAAATAGGCCAGGACCCTGCCATTACGTGGTTCACAGCCCAGCTGAGAACATATTCATTAGACAACCAAAAATATTCAAAATATTCCGTGAATGCAGTTGCATAAGTAACTGATCATGAGACAGACCTGGCGTCTTCTGTGGGGAAGGGTGAGGGCAAGGGAGGAGAAATAACAGCCCCCCAAGACGTCACCGTTCTAGGCCCTGGAACCCGTGGGTATGTCACCCTATACGTGTAGGGGAGGAAAAAGTTCTCCACCTTCTTAGGGTCTCCATCTGAGAATAAGGATTAAACTGACATATGACAGATTAATAGGAGAGAAGCATACGAGTTTAATTAAATTGTGACATGTACTTCGGAGGCTTCACAAAAGAATGAAGACCCAAGGAAGTGACCAGAACACAGAGCTTTTACACCTTTTAGACACCGAAATGATAAACTTGTGAAGAAATGACAAGACAAAGGGGTTTGGGCTAGGAGCAGTAAATTGTGGGGAAGTGACTAGGAGATTTTTGGGAGGGAAACTTAGTGAAAGATGAGGGTTGTTGTCGTAAGTGTGTCTATACAGATCCACCTAGCATCCATCCCCAGTCTACGGTGAGAAGGCCGCTCTCCTCCTGGTACAGTCGTGCGTCACTTAAAGACAGGGAGAAGTTCTGAGAAATGCATCTTTAGGCGATTTTGTCATCATGCGAACATCAGAGTGTACTCACACAAGCCTGGACGGCACAGCCTACTACACACCCAGGCTACATGGTGCTAATCTTATGGGAGCGTCGTCGTGTATGCGGTCTGCTGTTGACCAACACGTCGTTATGCAGCGCATGACAGTACAGGGAGGGCATCTCTCTCATGGGAAATTTTATGGCCTGTTTTTAGGTAGGAAAAGGTAGGCCAGAAATCCATTCCTGCTTCTGCTTTCTCTCAAGTGCCTTCAGCTCAAAATAATCAGTATGCCAAAGCAGCTTATTAAGGAGTGGCATGTCCTGAACTCCTTCACGTGATCAAAGGGACTTTGCAGATGTGGATTAAGTTAAGCGTCTTGACATTGGGAGATTAGCCTCGACTACATGAGTGGGCCCAATATAATCACAAGGGCCCTCATAAGGGAAAGGCAGGAGCCCAGAAAGGGGAGAAGATGCTACGCTGCTGGCTTTGAAGATGGGAGAAGGAGCCATGAGCCAAGGAAGGTAGGCAGCCTCTAAAGCTGCAAAACACAAGAAAATGGATTCTCCCCTAGAGCCTGCTGACACCTTCATTCTAGCCCAGGGAGACTGAGTTTGGACTTCTGGCCTACAGAACCCTAAGGGAATAGATTTCACAATTCAGCGGCTGAAAGATTAACACCTTGTGCATCAAAGAGGGTCTCCAATGTCCGTTCTGGTTGGTCGATTCCTGCACCAAACCAGTTGTTAAGTATTTTTAATATTGTCCTCACAAATGGCAAATAATCCTAGACATTGGTATGTAATAACAGAATGGGAAGAAGGTGAGGGGAGAACTAGCCGTCAGAGTGATGTGAGATTCATTAGGGAAGGGAGAGAAAAGCCACCCATCTATCCAGCATCTTCAGGTCTTTGCAAAAACAGGAACATGGCTGATGACACCACCAGATGTTGTAAGGTTTGGGGAAGAGCAAAGAGCACGTTACCAGCCACAGTAGAGATGGCTTCCCCAACTGTATTTTCCAAAAGGAGGAAACAATACTTCCCTTCCAAGGTGTGTTTCTAGAATCTTTCGAATCCTCCGTCAAGAGGAAGACTCTGATTCTTGTCCACCCGAATTTGGGTGGGCTTGCGACTTGCTTGTGACCAAGAGACTACGGTGGAAGTGGAGCCACATGACTTCCAGGGCTGGATTTTCAGAGGCGATGCACCATTTTCTGCTGGGACACTCACGCTTAGAGCTCTGAAGTGCCATGCAAGCTGCCTGACTGAGGCCGCCACGTTGGGAGGAAGCCCAAACGACCCCAAGCCCTGAGACCACACGAAGGGACGGCAATGCCCAGCAGTTCCCAGCCGCTCCAGCCCCAGCCACTGTCCAACTGTGACCAGGTAAGAGACCCCAAGCCAGGACCACCCAGCTGAGCCTTTCGCAGATTCCAGAATCACAGAAACCAGGAGAGAGAACAAAATGAACTTTGTTTCAAGCCACTACATTTTGCAGTGGTTTGTTACACAGCAATAGATAACTGATACACAGCCCTTGGAGAATTTCCTGGAATCTTTCCTCAATCATTTCGTGTCTCTCTCTCCGCTTCCCTGTTTCAGGACTCTGCTTTCTGCTACGCTTGTCGGGAGTCATGGCTCAGAAGACCAAGGGTGAGTGCTCGAATCCTGACTTTTCCACAGCCAGAGACCAGGGACAGTATAGACCAAGGATGCACTGGGACCACCACATCCTCTAGTAGGCTAGAGAAAACAGGCTGTCCTGGGAACAGAACCCGGGCAGGCTTGCTCCCGCAATTCATTTTAATTGATCATGTCATCAATTTTGGATATCTTTAAATTTATCTTTTTATTTTCCTTTTGTCTATTTGTTTGCTTTTAGTCACCACAATGTGCCTGATGTAGAAATAGAACAGTGGATAAAACAAAGTCTCACGAAGGAAACATTCTAGTGGGGCAAGACAGAGCATGATGGTAATCATTTCATCCTGATTATAAGCAAGTCAACAAAAAATGCACGTGATCATTTCAGGTTAACTCTAATCCCTTGGAGACGTCACCAGATTCTGATTCGGCAGGTCTAGGGTGGGGCCCGAGATTCTGCATTTCTAGGCAACTGACAGGGGATGCATTCTGAGCATCCACGCTCTGCACACTGCCCCCATCATGTTCCCAGCCCCCACACCCCCTGAGCCCAGCACTGTGTCCAGATCTGTCCACGAGATCCAAAGCTTCAGATAGCTCCTCATCCCACTATTTCCATTCATTCCCAAGGGGCCTCAAATTAGGATCTTTAGTGTAACTCTGTCTAAATGAATCTATACATATTATTACAAAGATAACATGTACCCTTATCAGAATATATCTTCTGTGGTACCCTACAAATTCAAATTTTTATAATCGTAGCTGGCACTTCTTATGTGTCAGGCACTGCCCAAAGCACTGTATTGTGTTAATTCACTTACTTCTCACAATAATCCATTTTACAGATGAGGGAATTGAGGCACAGAGAGGTTAAGACACTTGTGCAAAAACACACAGCCAGTAAGTCTTGGACCCAGAATCAAACCCAGGGTCCAAGGTCTTAACCAACTCACTCCCCTTTTATAAATTCTGCAGTGATCCTGAGAATAGCATAATTATGTTGCATTGAAATTTCGTGTTAAGATTAATTTGTTTAATGCCAACCCCAGTCCTTCTCGTGCACAGGAATCCCACTTTTTTCTGCAACTTGTATTTGGAATCTCTAATTTTTGAATGTACTGAGATCTCACAAAAGGAAAAAGGTGCAGGCTTCCTCAGCCTCGAGAGGCCCTGCTCAGAGGCAAAGCCAAATGGTAACCAGGTGACATCTGACCTGCCTCTCTTCTCCCAGCAGCTCTCTGTGCTCAGTGCCCCCAAAATGCTTCCTGTGTCAATGTCACTCACTGTACCTGCAACCCTGGATACGCTTCTGAATCTGGGCAGAAATTCTTCACATTCCCCTTGGAGACATGTCAAGGTAAAGGAGTAATTTTCAAATCACCCAGATGTGCGAGTGGAAAGCATGCAGCATAAAAACTGTAGGAGGTGATTGCCTAATAATGTGCCAACTCAACCTTCACCAAGAAAGAAATGCTCTCACGAAGTCAGGAAAAGAGGGCTCTTCCAGAACCTAGCTAAGGCTCCGTCTTCTCCTCCATAACGTGGGGATGATGATGCTGACTTCACGAGGGAGGCGGGAGGGTTTAATAAGGTAACGCACATGACAGCACTTCATGAATTATAAAGCATCATACAAACGTTTTTTTAAGTTAAGGAGGAGAATATGAACTGAAGTCATGGAAAGGAAAGAATAAAAGCTAGAGCAGAAACTTTTACAATATAAAACCCTATGGTCATCTAAGACGCAAAATGCAGTCTTAATTCAATAATTAAAATGTCCAATCCTATGTAAGAATAAACACTCCAGACTTGAGTTAACATTTTTTTGAGTTAATATTTTTGCTTTCTGTGTTTATCTATGTTGTTTGGTGCATACGTATTTATGACCGGGATAAAATTTTCTTCATAAAACATGTCAAATACCAACATGTAGAGTCCCACTTCACCTTCTTTAGAGGTTTGACCCTTAAATTCCACTGAGTCTGATATTAATATTACACACTCTGTTTTATTTCTGTTAATAATATTGGATTTTCCCCCTCTCCTAGTTTGAGCTCCCTCCTGGTTGGAAGCCGGCAGTCAGGAGTAGGGGATACGATTGGCTTCTCTCCTCCTTCCCCACCTAACTGTCTACTCTTCCTCACCCAATCTTGCTAAGGTTGGGACCCAGCCGGGAGAGGAGAAAAGGGGGCAGGAAAGTCCACTTGACTGATGCTATTGTTGCTGTTTAGCTTCCAGGTTCCTGAGTTATTGCACTTTCCATCCTGATAGCCTCAGTCTGTCCATTGGAGACAGTTCCCCTCTCCCCCAGTCACTCCACTGACATTCCCTTGACAACAGCCGATCCCCCCACACCTTCCTCATCCCAGAGGAGCCCTGCGTCTTCTCCAGCTTCTCCAGGATCAAGCCCATCTGCCGCTCCAGGTGGCTGTCTTGGACACAACCTAGGCAACCCCACAGCAGAAACCTCTCACACATGACCCACTTCTGGTTCTTGGGAAATATTCACGCACCCTTTGCCCAAGAAGCCTGGGGTGTGCAGGTGCAATAATATCTCTTCTTTGCCCCACTGCAAGGCAGTGACTCACCCTTGAGATTTTTCACAGGGAGATAGGCAGAATCAGCTGGGTCCCCACAAAATGCAGGGGACGCGTAATTAGCTGCCTGAACTCCTTAAAATCCCCCTCTCTCATCTTGAGATGAAGAGGGAAGCACTGACACACACCTCCTCTTGGGTAGGAGTGGAGGGGCTCACAGCACAGCATCAGCTCTCTCCAAATAAACCCTCCCTCTCTTCCTCACCAACTCCTGGCTTTTAAACATTTGATATGACTGAAGGATCTAAGAATTGTGTGACCAGATCCCAGACACCTCCTCCTTTGCCAGTGTTGTATCTTGGCTGGTTCCTTTCTTGGGAATGTGGTGTCTGAAGTTTCTAGTTTAATAACTGTTATTATGACAGGTTAATGTCAAAGTATTACCTCACCATGTGCATTTTAAACAATTACTCTGTAGAAAACGGAGGTGATATTTGAGCATACTTGGCAAAGGCCATCACAAATACAAAGACTCTTGGGTCGGAATATGTCTAATTGGCTCAATAAAAACAAAATGAAGTCAGCCGTCCATAGCCTGGTAAGTGATAGGGACATTGGTTGGAGACAGAGTTGCGGACCAATCTCGTAAATCCACCATCATCTTTTTTTATTGAGATATATTTCATAAAGCATAAAATCCACCCTTTGAAAGTGTACAGTGTAGTGGGTTTTAGTATGTTCTAAAGTGGAGCACCATCACCACTATCTAATTCCAGAACATTTCATCACCCCCAAAAGAAACCCAATACCCATTAGCAGTCACTCCTCATCTCAGCCCCTGGAAACCTCTACTCCGCTTTTTGTCTCTATGGATTTGCCTATTCTGGACATTTCATATAAATGGAATTATATAATAGGTGGCCTTTCTTGTCTGGCTTCTTTCACTCAGCATAATGTTTTCAAAGCTCATCCACATTGTAGCATGTGTCTGTACCTCATTCCTTTTTATGGTTGAATAATATTCCATTGTATGGATACACCACATTTTGTTTATCTGTTCATCACTTGATGGACATTTGGGCTGTTTCCACTTTTTGGCTATTATGAATAATGCTGCTACAAACCTTGTGTACAGGTTTTAGTTTGAACACTTGTTTTCAATTCTTTGGGGTATATATGTAGGAGTGGAATTGGTAAGTCATAAGGTACCTCTGTGTTTAATTTTTTTAAAACTTCCAAACTGTTTTCCAAAGGGGTTGCACAATTTTACATTCCCACCAGCAATGTATGAGACTTGTGATTTCCCAGCATCCTTGCCAAAATTTGTTATGGTCTTTCTTTTTTATTATAGCCATTCTAGTGTGTGTGAAGTGGTATTACATTGTGGTTTTGACTTGCATTTCCCCAGTGACTAATAATGTCAAGAATCTTTCCTCGTGCTAATTAGCCAATTGTGTATCTTTTTTGGAAAAAGGTCTATCAAATTATTTACCCATCTTTTTTAACTTGGTTATTTGTATTTTTACTGTTGAGTTGTAGGAGTTCTTTGTATACTCTGGATACTAGTCCCTTATCAGATATCTGATTGGCAAATATTTTCTCCCATTTGTGGGTTGTCATTCCACTTTCTGATGGTGTTCTTTAAAGAACAAAACTTTTTAACTTTGATGAAGTCCATTGTATCTATTTTCTGTTTTGTTCCTTGTGCTTTTGATGTTATAGCTAAGAAACAATTGTTTCCTACAATTGTTCATTTTTGTATTATAAATTCCTAATTCTATTAGACAATGACATAATCATTTCTAATTTTTAATTTATTAGGGATTTTAAACTAATGGCTGAAAATCTCTACTTTTTACATTTTTTTAGCAGTTTCTTCGTGAAAGCATATGATCGATCTTATAAAAGAAAATGTATATTTTCTTTTTTTTTTTTTTTCGTGAGGAAGATCAGCCCTGAGCTAACATCCCTGCTAATCCTCCTCTTTTTGCTGAGGAAGACCAGCTCTGAGCTAACATCTATTGTCAATCCTCCTCCTTTTTTTTCCCCAAAGCCCCAGTACATAGTTATATGTCATAGCTGCACATCCTTCTAGTTGCTGTATGTGGGACGTGGCCTCAGCATGGCTGGAGAAGGGGTGCGTCAGTGCGCACCTGGGATCGGAACCCAGGCCACCAGCAGCGGAGCACGCGCATTTAACTGCTATGCCACAGGGCCAGCCCGAAAATGTATATTTTCTGTTCAGGGAAAGTAAGATTCCCTCTCTGCATAGGTCTCTGTCTATTTCTCTCTATTTCTGTCTCTTTCACCTCTGTATGTGTGTGTATCTGTCTTTGTCTGTCTTTCTGACTCTATATAGGTGTGTATTTACTGATTGTATTTATTCATTAATTTCTCTATATCTTTAATTATTTTGTAGCCACTAGATCTTTCCTGTGTTTGTGTGTGCTTGTTGATTGTGACATTCAATTCCTCTCTATCCTTATCTACCTTTTATCTACCATTTCTTGGAGAAGTGAATTGAGTGTCCCAGCACAATCGTATTTTATTTGTTCTTGCTGCTTGCGTTTCTGCTTGTTTTGCTCTCTTTATTTGTCTGTGTTGCTTGGTGCATACGTATTAATGACCAGGACACAATTTTCTTCATAAAGTTTGTTAAGTATTAATACACAGTGTACCTTCTTTAGAGCTTTGAACCTTCCACTGAGTCTGATATCAATATTACACATTCTGTTTTATTTCTGTTTTAATTCTCCTAGTACATTTTTGTGCACCCCTTTATTTTGAAAATTATCAGTCTCTTGAAAATAGCATGTAGCTGAGTATCGTATTTTAGCCTAATATTCCAGTTATCTGTTGCTGCATCATAAACCCCCAAATTCTTGACACAAAACAATCATTTTATCATGCTCTTGAGTTCTGTGGGCCAGGAATTCAGACAAGACAGAGCAGAGATGGCTTTTCTCTGCCCCATGATATCTTAGGCCTCAGCCAAGAGGCTCCCGTGACTGGTAGTGACTCAAACGGCTGAGGGTTGGAATTCTGTGGAGGCATCTCCACTCACACGTCTGGTGCCTGGGCTGGAATGACTCAAAGACTGGAATTATCTGGAACTGACCTCCTCTCCCAGGTCCCTCCGTGTAGCTTCAGCTTCTCGCAGTTAACGGATGAATTCTGAGAGGGCGTGTCCAGCATGGAGCCTTCAGAGATGAGCCTTCCAAGAGACCCAGGCAGAGCTGCCTGTCTTGGTGACTGTGTCTCCAAGTCCCGTGGTGTCACTTCTGCAGTCTGTTGACTGAAGCAGTCATGAGCCCACTGAGACACAAAGGGACAAAACAATGAGCCCACATCTCAATGAAAAGAGTGTCAAATAATTTGGAGGCCATGTTTCAAACCTGCCATCCCAATCTGTTAGTCTCTATTTTAACAGAAGATTTCTGTTTATATTGAGTGTATATTAGTCTCTTATATTTAGTGTAATGACTGACGTAGTTACTCCCTTCATATTATTTTCCATTTATTAATTTTATATTATCATTTATTCATTTTTCTTTTTTGTACTGGTGTTTGTTTGATCAAGTAGCTGTCAATTCAATTTTTCCCTTTATTTATTTGGATGTTCTACTAAACTTTTCCATCCTATTAATGGTTACCTTCTGTTTTCTTACTTTCATAACCAGACACATGTTTCTCTACTGTTATTCTAAAAACTCACCCATGATTTTCCCCACCAAGATGCTTCACTTCACCCTACTTCCCCTCTCCCAGTAAAGAGATGAGATCTGTAAAATGCTCTTATTTTACTCGTCTCTTTTCCTCGTCTCCCCTCCCACTCCCTTCATGAATATTAATTTTATCTCAAGGTTCATTGCTCACCCCTGCTTCCTCTTCCCTTCATCTTCCCCCAAATTGAGGTTTCTGTACTTGCTAATTTCATACTTGTTAATTTGCTGTTTTCTTAGAGCACTTTCTTGCATGTTTTTTTCAAATTGGGTACATGGGTAATATCTCTCCCAATTATTGCATAATCTCACATTTCTTTCACTCTCACAAGTAGATTCTACCTTGCCTTGGCTGGGAATCTTTTGGTTCAGTCCTCTTATCCTGGTAATCTATTGATGCCTATCTCAGGAATCACAGAAACTATCTTTAAGCTCCCAGGGTTGCAGATGGGAAGTCCAACACCAATTTGAGTCTCATTCCTTTGTAGGAATGTAACTTCTTTCTGTCTCACGCTTCGTAAGGTTTTTCCCAAAAGCCTCCAGAAGACTGTCTTGACTTTTCATTGGTGAGGGGTGTGTCACATGACCACCCCAGCCAAAAGGGAGGCTGGGAAAGAGAGTACCTGAGGAAGGAGAACAGTTGCCATATCTGGCCACCCCAACAAAGAATTGCTATTGAATGGGCAACAAACAGCGAGTGCTACACTGTGTCACACTCTGAAAATCCCAAATTTCATGTTTTCTGTACCAGACACAGAAACCACACATTTTCACTGCCTACTGGACATCGTTGTGAAGGGGCTACAGTGACCCTCAGGACCAGAGACATGTTGACTTAACAAAGACATTCCACCTGAATTAGTTAGTCTAGCAGGTGTATTAGTCTGCTCAGGCTGATATAACAAAATATCACAGACTATTCTGTGGCTTATACCACAGAAAGCTATTTTCTCATAGTTGTGGAGGGTGGGAAGTCCATGATCCAGGTTCCGGCAGATTCCGTGTCTGGTGAGGCCTCTCCTCCTGCTTGTAGACACCTGCCTTCTTGCTATGTCTTCACTCACATGCACGCAGTGGCAGGGGCAGTGGGGAGCTCTCGTGTCTCTTCTTTTAAGGACAGTAATCATATCAGATCAGGGCCCCATTCTTAAGACCTCATTTAACCTCACATACCTCCTTAGAGTCCCCGTCTCCAAATACAGCCACACTGAAGGGGTTAGAGCTTCAGCATATGAATTGAGGGGGGATGCAAACATTCATTCCACAACAGCAGACATGGCCAGTACCGCACTTGTATGCCCTTAGCATTTGCCATTCCTTTGCACACCAAGTCTGAGGCTTTCTCTGGCTACTGGAGACTCCTCAGCCCATGCTCAGGACAGGAAGAAGCACTGGGGAGTTAACACTCCCTGGGAGCATTCCTCCACCAACAAATGATGAGATTTGGTGGATGAACACCCCAGCTCCCTCACCCCTCAGGTGGGGTCGCTCTGAATTGTATGCTCTACATTGCTTCCCAGAGGTTCCCGGAGGAATTGACTCCCAGTGGCCCACAGTGGAAGCTTACTTGATACTATCTGCTTCCTTTTCTGACTTCCATCCCCTGTCTCATCTCACCACTGCCCTTCCAGTGTTTTCTGGGATCATCTCCCAAATAAAATACTTGCACCTTTGTGCAAGAATCTTTGTCTCGATGTCTGCTTCTTGGAGAACCCAACCACAGTCAGTGAGGAAAGGAAAGAACAAAGACAATCATTTCCTTAATTGAGTTGTCTTGGAAAGCCAGGATAGACGCTGGTGGGAAGGGTATAGCCTCTGGCACATATTAGGTGCTTGGTAAATCTTTGTCAAATGAATGACCAAATTTCTCCTTCGTGTTCCAGATATTGATGAATGTAAACCACCCGTTAGTATATATTGTGGAGCAAATGCTAAATGTCAGAATGTCAAAGGAAGTTTCTACTGTCACTGTCACTCTGGATACGAGCTCCTCTCTGGGGGGACACAGTTCAAGAATTCCAATGAGAACAACTGTCAGAGTAAGAAAATTCTTGTTTTCTTGTCTCCCTTCCTCATGTTTCTTTGAGTCTAACACCAGAAAACATATTTTTTGTTGTGGGGCCAGGATGTGTTTTTATTTTCTGGAGGGAAATGGATGATGGAAAGAGGAGAAAAAAGGAAAAAAGAAGTTCAGAGAAATAACAGGGTTAAGAAGGCAAGTGGACTTTGGAGATGGAGGTGACAAAGTGGTGACTGAGACAAGATTCTTTGAATTGCAAAGAAGAAAAACCCACTCAGGCTAACTTAAGCAGAAAAGATGAGTTTATGATAAGGATGCATGGACAAGTCTTGGAACTCAATGACAAGAATACAGCGGGGCTTCTGGAAGGAACTGAAACTGGGGAGTCAGAACCACCAGGGCACTCCAGTCTCTGACACTCTTCGGGTTTGCTCCTTTCTTCTCTTTCATTGCAAACGGGCTTTCTCTGCTTCCTAGTCCACAGGACAGGAAGTATAGCCACCAACAGCTCCAAATCTTACCATCATTATTGATCCAACCACCCAAAGAAAGATCAATTGACTCTCTTTTAGACCTAATTGGAAATTTTTTGGAAATGTACAAATTGCCCAGTTTGAGTCATATGCCCACCTTTGGATTTGTGTTCGGGGGGAGGTGCCATGTTATATAAGCATGACCAGCCTCGTGGAAGACACACAGGTGGGGAAAGTCTATACACAAGAAATATGGGAGTTGGCGGACTATCCATGAGGTGTTGGCTACAGTTGATATCATAAGAGAGAGAGTCTTTAAAGCTAAATTCTAGGAAGTTATTAGGGGAGAAACAATAATACTAATAGCTAATATTTATTTCATTTGTACTATATGCCAAGTACTACACTAATCATATGAAGTAAGCATTGTTGTTATAAATAAAGAAATTGAGGCATCCAAATTTAGGTAACTTGCCCAAGTTCAGCCAGCTAATAAGCATGTTTTTAACCTGAGTCAGCTTATACTGAGGGCCCACACTCTTAGCCACTTCCTGTACTGCAACATTGGTCTCAGGGAAGCCATAAAAGGGACAAAGCATTCTTATTCTGGTGCAAAAAAATAAGAATAAGTTATGCCTCTTTATAAGTCAAGATCCAGCCTGGAAAACAGAAACCACACCAGGTCTTTCAAACATCAGGAATTTCATATAGAGAATTGGTACTGGTGAAGGAAGAGCTGAGAAGTCAAAAGGGGGATAGTGAGGCAACCCAAAGAATAGCGGTAGCAGAAATCTGCAGCCATTCTGTACCCAGAGGGACAGGGGAGGAAGAGCTATCACCAGAGTGCAAGAGCTAGGTCTATCTAATCAGAGGTGGAAACTTGGAAGAGATACAGCCAGTGCTGGGGATACCACGAGAAGTAGAGAGAAGGGGAGAGAAACACCTTGGGTCCTCCCTTCCTCAGCTCTCCAATATTCCACCAGTATTTCCCATGGCTGAACCTTCAGGAAGGCACACGGCAAGAGACCTTGGCAAATGGCGCTGTCTATGAGACAGAACAGAGCATGGAAAAAGTAGGATCTGAGGGCAAATCGGCAGTTGGCTGACACCTCTGTTGACAATGTACAAACAGACTGAGATTGTGCCTGGACTCTGATGTTATCTGTTAAACTCACCTTATTTTACAAGGAGGAAAAATACCCTTGATTATTTCCCTAATTTTAAGAGCTCTTCACAGTATTTTCTATACGGATTGAATCCGTCTGGGGTTAGTCATCACCAAGACTGGTAGGTCCAAGGAAGCCACCGTGAAAAACTATGCAGCTTTCAGCCAAAAGCGCAGTTTTCTACAGTGAATGTGGTTTCCAATAACAAACATATTCTAGACTCAGCGTTGTAAGTCAAAGTGCTTGAACTCTTAAGATGAAACCCTCAATATTATAAGAAAGCTCTTTGCCCTTTTTAGGGCAAATAGACTCAGCTGAAAACCAAGGCGCAGGAGGCACAGATTTAACCTCAGACTGATGGTAACAGGCAAGCAAACATTTGCTATCCTTTCCTCGTCTTTCTAAAATAAAGATGTTCGTCCTCACAAACCACAAAAAGCAACACACAAAGGTCTCATTAACAGCTGATAACCAAAAACTGACACTCCTGTTTCAGTTGTAATTCTCAGCCAGGCTGAACTTAAAAGCCTGAGGCATCTAATTTTCTGTTTCCTCAGCCATTTCGGTTTTAACGTCCAGCCAAGACCGAATTTTAAAATGTGGAGCCTACCTGTTTCTGCTCCCTCTACCCTGGGTGTCTCTACCACGGCAATGTTGATATGTGGGCTCCAACAATTCTTGCGGTCGGAAGCTGTCCTGTGCATTGCAGAGTGTTGAGGGCATCCCAGGCCTCCACCCACTAGATGCCAGCAGCATCTCCACACCAAGCTGTGACCACCAAAAATGTGTCCAGCCATTGCCAATGTCCCCGGGGGCAAAATCACCCCCAGCGGAAAAACCCTGCTCTACACCATGACAAGGAACTCAGGTTCTGATCCCCTGAAAGAGCAAACAACCATGTCAGTGAGCATGAAGAGTACGAGTTCAGACCTTCCGGATCAACATTACCCACCTCAGCTGCCCACCTCTCCACCCTCTCAGCTCCAACAGTAACTTCCTTTAATGTCTTTTGCAGAGACCACCACCCCAGCGACAACCACAGGCAAGAAAGAGGTGAGTGGAAGCTGAGTTCTGGAAACCAGCCGGGTAACAGACGTTTGCAAAGCCCGAATCAGCAAGTAGGGGTGGGCACTCTACATTACGTGTATATTGTGTATTATATATCATATGCTGATATGTCATATACATCATATGTTATGCTATATTATAATATATGTTAACTATAATATTACAGTGTTGTATATAACATGATATATACATATACATCACTGTGTTTATCACCATATGTATATCACCACGTATCTCACTAGAGGGAGAGAGAGATACAGTGTGTATGTGTACATGGGTGTTGTGTACTGCCCCCTAAAGACAGGATCTGTCCCAGACCGAGAGAGACAGCCTAAGCGAGACTGTATCAAGGTATGCTGAGCTGCTGGAACAAAAAGACCCAAACATCCGACGGCTTTAAAAGGATGGATCTTTATTACCGTCTGCGTTCACAGTCCAGAGACGAGCAGTCCAGGCTGGAGAAGGGGTTCTGCTGCTCGAGGCCATTAAGGGCCCCGGGTTCTCCCCACGCTGTTGCTCCACCACCCCCTGGCGCCTTGTCCTCAACTGCACAGTCGAAGCTGGTTTGCTGCAACGTAGCACTCACACCAGTTGGGAGACAGAAGAGGGAGTCCAGGGCAAGCTGTCTGGAGTGAAGGGTGAAGAGGGGAGCATGGAGAGAAGAGGTGCATCTACTCACTATGTGATATGCTAGTAAGATTGTGATAATTTCCTTGAAGACGTGTCCTAAAATGACAGCCCAGAGGTTGCACATAGCATGGGCAAGCCTAGCTATAAGGGAGGCTGGGACAACACAGTCCATAGCTGGGCAGCATGGCCCAGATAAAACTTGAGGAATTCATTCAATTATTAAAAGGAAGAGGGGGAAATGGATATTTGAAGACAGCTAAAAGAGAGAGGGATACCGAGACAGCGCCCGTTAGTGTCTGTAAACGAGCTCTGAATTGTAATGAAAAGAATGATCCATGTCTCTGAGAACCTGTAGCCTCGCAGAATGGGCTTGTCCCCTCCTCTCCTCACCCCCCGCCCTCAGCAGCACTCCTCCAGAGGGACTGTTCACGCCTTACCCTCCCAAGCTCCCCCCTCCAGGTACGTGCTGCTCTCTCCACCTGAACCTCATTTTCTCAATTCCTCCCCTGGCCACTTCCTCCCGCTCTTAAAGAAGTCTCAAGACTCAGTTCAGGGGTCACGTCCTCCTGGATGGCCTCCCTAGACATCCTCCATCTGAGGTAATGTCATGTTCCTGTGGTGCCAGGATGTGGAGGTTAGAAGTGTAGACAGCACCACAGTGGCAAGCGACATGGGTAAAACGACACAACCTCTCTGTTTAGTCAGGGTTCTCCAGAGAAACAGAACCAATAGGAGGTACAGATACAGATACATAGAGATTTGTCATAAGAAATTGGCTCAGGAGATTATGGAGGCTGACAGGTCCCAAGAACTGCAGGTGGCAAGCTGGGGACCCAGGAGAGCCAAGGTGGGTTCCAGCTCAAATTCAGAGGCCTGAGACCCAGGAAGAGCTGATGTTCCAGTTTGAGTCTGAAACTAAAAACCAGTGTCCCAGCTCGAGGCAGTCAGGGAGGACAAAATTCCCTCTTACTCAGATTTACTGTTCTGTTCAGGCCCCCACTGACTGGATGAGGGCCCCCACACCAGGGAGGGCAATCTGCTTGACTCCTACCCATTCGAATGTTAATCTTATCCAGAAACACCTTCACGGACACACCCAGAATGATGCTTGAACAAATATCTGGGTACCCCATGATCCAGTCAAGTTGACACACAAAATTAACCACCACACTTTCTAAAATTGATTTACTCATGTGTAAGATGGGGGTAATAATGGCGCCCACCTCCTTGGATGGACGGGAAGGTTAGTTGAAATAATATGTGGAGTACTCAGCACAGTGCCTGGTCCAGAGTGCACGTTCCATCCACAACATCATTGTTATCTCTGGCAGACTGACAACATCTACGTGATGTGTCACCCCCAAACTTGAGCTTCTTGAGGGCAGGAATCAGACCACACCAACATTGGGAGTCCAACAAATGTTCATTGAAGTAATGAACAAATAATCGTGTAATCAACAGAAACGTTTCATATAAAATTTCATTGCCAGCTTCCTCAAAAATTTAAACATAGAATTTCCATATGACCCAGTAATTCCACTCCTAGCAATATACCCAAGAGAATTGAAAACAGGGCCTCAGACACTTGCACACCCATATTCATGGCAGCACTATTCACAATAGCCAAAAGGAAGAAACAGCCCATATGTCCATCAACAGATGAATGGATAAACAAAATGTGGTATATCCACACAGTGGAATATTATTCGGCCATAAAAAGGAATAAAGTCCTGATTCGTACTACAACATGGATGAGCCTTGAAAACATGATGCTGAGTGAAAAAGCAAGACACAAAATGTCACATATTGTGTGATTCCATTTATATGAAATGTCCAGAACGGGCAAATCCATAGAGACAGAAAGCAGATTAGTGGTTGCCAGGGGCTGAGGGGGAGAAAAATGGGGACTAACTGCTTAATGGGTAGCAGGTTTTATTTTGGGGTGATGAAGATGTTTTGGAACTACATAGAGGTGGTGGTTGCACAACATCGTGCATGTACTAAATTGCCACTGAATTCTATACTTTAAAATAGTGAATTTTATGTTATGTGAATTCCACCTCATTAAAAAAATGCCTTGCCAGAAAAAGGTGCAAAGTCATCGTGCTGGATCAGACAGCACAATAGCAATTCTGAAGAGCAAATACTTTGGCATCTACTCTGTACAAATGGTTTTAAAACCAAAAAGATTTCAGCTGTTGTTTAGAGGAGAGAAATTTTCTACATCAGGCAAGGGAGGCTGCTCCTAAGCTAGAAAACTCAGCTCAGAATTTCCATGAAGACTCGTTAGAGTGAACAAGAAGAACATTAAAAAGGTTTTTTTGAACCCTGGTTCTGAATGTTCCTCCAGCCCTTTCTAAATATTGCTCTGCTTGTAACACTCTGGTGCGATAGCGTTTTCCTCTTAAGGGCATTCATTCAGCCCGTGAGCACTTCCTGAGCACTATTTGCCAAGGACTGTTCCAGGTGCTGGGAAACAGCTGTGAACAGAACGAAGTCCCTATCCTGAAGGGACTTACTGTCTAATACTTTAATAAACCGACAAGTCCCCTGGGGAGCGTGTTTAATTCGAGTTTGGATTCAGGACACCAAGAGTCTGCGTTCCTAGCAGCTTCCAGGCGATGCTGAGGCTGCTGGTCCAGGAGTCACGCTTTGAGCACAAGGATGTGGGGATCTGCGTGAAAGTAGTCTTTCAAATCACCTAAACTTCACCCTGGCCCTGCATTCTTCTCCAGCCGTGGGTCCATCTCTTTGCTATCCTTCATAGACAAATTTCTTGATTTAAAAAGGCCACATAGAGTGAATTCTGACCTATAACTCTACTTCCGAGTTTCTCAGCTTTGTGTAATGTATAATATTATAATGTTATAATATTTGAGACTGGCATTCTCTGCTGTGTGGCGCATCTCATGCATTATAGGATGTTGAGCAGCATCTCTGGCCTCCGCCCACTAGACACGAGAAGCATCCCTCAGTGGTGACAATCATAAATGTCTCCAGACATTTCCAAATGTCTGCTGGGGATCAAAGTCACCCCAGTTGAGAACCACTGGTCTATTTCGAGCGACCTCAACACTTCCCTGTTGGTGAAAGATGTTCCTGACAACTAACCGTTGTCCGCTGTTTACTGGGCACAGACAGTGTTCTAAAAATGTAGCATCTCTTAACTCATTTAATCTTCCCAAAAACTCTATGGGGTCCTATTACTATTCCCATCCTAAGATGGGGAAACTGAGGCACAGATCTCTTGAGTGACTTTCCCAAGGTGGTATAGCCGGTAAATGGTGGAGTTGGGATTTGAACCGGGTCCTCTGGCTCCAGAACCTGCTTTCTCAGGCCTTCTACTGTCCCTCGGGATGTGGGACCTATCGGATTGGATTTTTTTTAATTCTTTATATCTTCCAAGGTGCAACAGATTGTTGAGGAGTTCGAGTCACTTCTCACCAATAAGACTCTATGGGGAACAGGAGAGAAGAGAGAAATCGCATCCCAGGCCACAAAGATTCTCCAGACTATGGAGTTGAATGTTCTAAAAACTGCCTTGGAAGCCCCAAACCGAAAACTCCAGAAAGTCCAGAACAGTACTGTTGGTAAGAAGATAATAAGGCTGGTACACAGGGGCTGGTTTCTAGCAGAGGTCTGGGTTAAGCAATCAGAAAAATAAGTAAATACACTGCATGAGTCATTCATACAGGCATCCCTCAGAGATATTGCAAGCTTGGTTCCAAACCATTGCAGTAAAGTGAGTAACACGAATTTTTTGCTTCCCAGTACATATAAAAGTTAGATTTACACTGTACTGTAATCTGCTAAGTGTGCCATAGCATGATGTCTAAGAAAAATGTACCTCGCTAAATTAAAAAATACTTTATCGCTAAGAAATGCTAACCATCACCTGAGCCTTCACTGAGTCCTCATCTTTATGCTGGTGGAGGGTCTTGCCTCAACGCTGACTCATCAGGGTGGTGGTTGCTGAAGGTTGGGACGGCCACAGCAATTTCTTAAAATAAGACAATAATGCAGTTCCCCACATTGATAGACTCTTCCTTTCAGGAACGATTTCTCTGTAGCATGCGATGCTGTTTGATAGCATTTTACCCACAGTAGAACTTCTTTCAAAATTGGAGTCAGTCCTCTCAAACCCTGCCACTGCTTCATCAACTAAGTTTATGTCATATTCTAAATCCTCTCTCATCATTTCAACAATCTTCACCGCACCTTCACCAGGAGTAGATTCCATCTCAAGAAACCACTTTCTCTGCTCATCCATAGAAGCGAATCCTCATCCATTCAAGTTTTATCATGAGATTGCACCAACTCAGGCACCCCGTCAGGCTCCACTTCTTTTTTTTTTTTTTTGAGGAAGATTGGCCCTGAGCTCACATCTGTTGCTAATCTTCCTCTTTTTATTTTCTCTCCCCACAGCCCCAGTACATAGTTGTATATCCTAGGTGTAGGTCCTTCCAGTTCCTCTATGTGGGACACCACCTCTGCACGGCTTGAGGAGTAGTGAGTAGGTCAGCACCCAGGATCCAAACCATTGAATCCCAGGCCACCCAAGCAGAGCACGCGAACTTAACCACTGGCTCCCATGCTCCACTTCTCATTCTAGTTTTCTTGCTGTTTCCACCACATCTGCAGTTACTTCCTCCACTGAGGCCTTGAACCCCTCAAAGTCATTGTGAGGGTTGGAATCAATTTCTCCCAAACTCCTGTTAATGTTGATATTTTGACCTCTTCCCATGAATCACAAATGTTTTTAATGGCATCTAGAATGGTGAATCCTTTCCAGAAGATTTTCAGTTTACTTTGCCCAGATACATCAGCAGAATCACTATCTATGGCAGTGATAGCCTTACAAAAATGTATTTCTTAAGTAATAAGACTTGAAAGTCAAAATTGCTCTTTGATCCATGATCAAAATGTCAGCCCAAATTCTGCAGAGTGGACGTTGTGTGAGCAGGCATGAAAACAGCATTCATCTTATGGACATCTCCATCAGGGCTCTTGGGTGACTAGGTGTATTGTCAATGAGCAGTAGCATTTTGAAGGGAATCTTTATTGCTAAGTAGTAGGTCTCAACAGTGGGCTTAGAATATTCAGTAAACCGTGCTGTAAACAGATGTGCTGTCATCCAGGCTTTGTTGTTCCACTTACAGAGCACAGGCAGAGTAGATGTAGCATAATTCTTAAGGGCCCTAGGATTTCTGGAGTGGTAAATGAGCACTGGCTTCAACTGAAAGTCACCAGCTGCATTAGCTCCCAACAAGACAGTCAGCCTGTCCTTGAAGCTTTGCAGCCAGGCACTGACTTCTCCTCTCCAGCTATGAGAGTCCTAGATGGCCTCTTCCTCCAGTAGAAGGCTGTTTCATCTGCAGTGAACGTCTGTTGTTTAGTGTAGCCACTTGCATTAATGATCTGAGCTGGATCTTCTGGAGAACTTGCTGCAGCTTCTACATCAGCACTCACTGCTTTACCTTGCGCTTTTATGTTATGGAGACGCCTTCTTTCCTTAAACCTCATGAACCAAGTGCTGCTTCTTCTGTTTCTTCTGCAGCTTCCCCGCCTCTCTCAGCCTTCACAGGACTGAAGAGAGTTAGGGCCTTGCTCTGGGTTAGACTTTGGCTTGAGGGAATGTTGTGGCTGGCTGGCTCTTCTACCCAGACCACTGAACTTTCTCCCTGTTGTCAGTCAGACTGCTTGGCTTTCTTATCACTCGTGTGTTCACTGCAGGAGCACGTTTAATTTCCTCCGATAGCTCTCTCTGTGCATCCACAACTTGGCTAACTGTTTGGCATGAAAAGCTTAGCTTTCAGCCTATCTTGACGTGCTTTTGACATGCCTTCCTCACTACATTTCTAACTTTTAAATGTAAAGTGAGAGATATGAGACTCTTCCTTTCACTTGAACACTGAGAAGCCATTGTAGGATTATTAACTGGCCTACTTTCGGTATTGTTGTGTCTCAGGGAACAGGGAGGCCCGAGGAGAGGGAGAGAGACAGGGGAATGGCCTGTCGGTGGAGCAGTCAGAACACACAACAGTTATCTACTAAGTTCACCGTCTTATATGGGTGAGGTTTGTGGCACCCCAAAGCAATTACAATAGTGACATCAAAGTTCACAGATCACAGATCACCATAACAACCATAATGATAATCAAAAAGTTTGGAATATTGTGAGAGTTACCAAAATGTGACACAGAGACACAAAGTGAGCAAACGCTGTTGGAAAAGTGGTGCCAAGATACTCGCTAGACACAGGGTTGCCACAAACCCTCAATTTGTAAAAAACACAATATCTGTGAAGCGCAATAAAATGAGGTATGCCTGTACAAAATTCTAGAAAATGCAAACCCATCTATAGTGACAGAATAGGGGCATCGGAGAGCTGAGAAAGGGGCCCGAGAAAATCACAGGAGACTGTTGGGGCGATGGGAACGTTCCCCACCTGATTGCGGTGGTGGTTTCACAGATGTACACATCCCATACAACCCATCAAATTGTACACTTTAATATGTGCAGCTTTTGGTATACCAATTACATCTCCACAGAACTGTCAAAAAAAAATGGTCAATAGTTTCCAATCCTGCATCTGGGATTCTGCCTTAAAGGTAGTTTTTTGGTTTTTTTTAACCCAGTGGCTTCTTAACTTAAGCCCATGTCACAGTGGTCCTGTTTAAACCACCCCAGAAGGAATGTCTTCCTACACATTTAAAAAATAAAAATACTTTTATTGTACTCGTCATACATATTCATTACTTAGCCACGTGGGGAGACGATATGTTACTTAGCCTGACTGTGGTAATCATTTCACTACGTATTGGTGTGTCAAGTCATCGTATTATACACCTTAAATATATACAATTTTTTATGTTTAGAAATAAAAATAAATAAAATACAGTAGCAGAACAAAATATTAAATTTTTTAAAAATTAGAAAAAACACAGAAACAAAACTAAATGTAGACCAGCCACGCCTGCGCACAGCCCAGTCTTCCAATCCTGTACCCGTGTGGGCACGTGTTTGATGAAGAGTCACATCTTTGTTGTGTATACTTTACACACAGTTGCACAACCTGCTTTTTGACTCACTGCATCGCTGGCATCTTTCCATGTAAATTGTGTACGTTATCATTACCTACGTCATCATCTTCAATGGCTTATAGAGTGCATTGCATGGGTGCGCTATCATTTATTTATTTCCCTCTTCTGAGAAATGGGGGGTTTTGCCCAACAACCCTGTGATAAAGACCATTGAAAATGTCTCTGTGCGTGTTTGTTTGATATTTTCTTAGTATAAACTCATAGAGGAGGAGTCGTTAGGTCAAGGGGGAAAAACACTTTATAGACTTTTGATGCATATGACTATATTGGCCTCCAGAAATGCTGTATGCTGCACTTTTTATTCAGCTCAGGGCTGTCAAAGGATTTGTGTGTGCCTAGCTAACAATTTTGTTTTACCAACTTGCATGATGAAAAACTTTATGCTCTGTAAAAATAATAATCAAAAAAATTTAAAAATAAAATCCAATACCTAACCTTCTTGGGAAACTGGAATCTGGACACTTTCCTTCAAAGTTAAACCATTTTCCAGACTACAAGTAACTCTCCTCTTTCTTGACTTGGCCTGATCCTGCTTGTCTGATCCGTGACCGGTGCCCTCCCCTCGGTGGGTCTCAGTCTCCTCGTCTGTAAATGGGGATAATAACAGCACACGTAATGTTCTGAGAACTAGGGCTGCGATTGCCATGATTATTCCATGCTCCACTCTTTATTATTATGAAGTTTTGTTTAAACAGTATCATTCTTTTCTTCACATTCCTATCTACTTCATAGTAGTATCATTCTTTAAGTGATATTTTACTTGTTTTTTTTAGCTTTTTTGTGTGGTGTAAGGAAGATTAGCCCTGAGCTAACATCTGTGCCCGTCTTCCTCCATTTTGTATATGGGGCGCCACCACAGCATGGCCTGATGAGCAGTGCGTAGGTCCACACCCGGGATCTGAACCTGCGAACCCTGGGCCGCCAAAGTGGAGTGGGCGAACTTAACTGCTATGCCCAGCGCTGGCCCCTTTTTTTAACTTTTTTAACATACACAAAAGGAGACATGACAAGCCCACTGCGCTCACCACCCAGTTTCAATCATTTCCAACTCATGGCCAGTCTCATGCCATCTGCTTTTTAAGCTAAATATTTTTATGACCTTTTGTTTCTTGATCACAATTCTTCCAAGACTTCATTTTTATTGGAAGCCTGGTTCCCCATTTCAGAGATAAGCTATCGATTATTTAATCAACTCCTCCTTGCTGAACATTTAGGTTATTTCTCATTTTCACCATTATTATCTATGCTGCTTGTGAACTTTCTTGGAGCTAAATCTGCCCTAAATCTCATGCATGATTGTTTTCTGAGAATAAATTCCTAGAAACAGAATTGTTGCTTCAAAGATCATGTGCTATAGAATGTTAGTTAAGAACTTGGTTTCAGGGCTGGCCCAGTGGCTTAGCGGTTAAGTGCGAGCGCTCCGCTACTGGCAGCCCAGATTTGGATCCCGGGCGCGCACCGACGC